CATTGTTTAATGCCTGTTATCAGGCAATGCACTGTCATCACAATATCAAGCGGTTTCATTCTAAATAATAGCGACCTGAACATTTAATAAAATGCTTATATGCCCTGAATGCATAACCGAAAGTTCATCTGTTGCTTTTTCTGCCAATTAACAGCTTACGTATTAGTTATGTGTGTTATATGGCATGAATTAGAAATTTATCTCTTGGAGCAACAAGCATTACTTTTCTACTGCCACGTACTAATCAAGTATTTTTCTGCTCTTGCACCCCTTAATCATATTTCCATGCCTTCAAACATCCTGAGGTTTTTCAAGATAGCCAAATAAATCCAGATATTTTTGTCCCATATTTAATGAAATTATCATCTTACAACACGTAAGCTCAAAAAATTGGTACAATCAATTCTCATTTCGTTCCATAATATGCCTTGACAAACGTACGCATGTACGTACGTACATACATCAACGCAGAACGAGCTTTTAGTCACACTGTAAGCATTCAAATCATTTAAATTTATTATGAACTGAGCTCACATTCTTATTGTCAGATAGAAGTATTACATTTAACAAGAAAGTGACAGTGTTCTGAGATGTCTAAAAATGCAATGTCACTGTGTAAACATCGGTATACTATATCATCAACGGTCTTTTGTTCAACAGGAGTGGATGTCAAAGTTTAAGTTTAGGTTCGAACACCAACTTTACGCACACACGTGTTCGATTGAGGAATCGATTAAATATATATAGCTGCCGAAACATGGTCGTAAGTAGCAGGCGGCCCCTCGTTTGTAAACAACCTTAAAGTCTCGCGCAAATTATCGCCGATGGTCTTGGAGCGGCCCGTCCATCGCCTCCCGCCAACGAGCACAATATCGCCGAGATTTGGGAGAAGCGGCCAATCTGCCGTTGCGCGCTCATAATCGCCCTTCACGCCAATAAAAAACCGCGCCACGGCCTTAAATTTTAACTGGGTAGGACGAACGCAGATTGCGTTCGTTCGTAATAATCCAAATTATGGGACAAGCTTTAGGGTGCTTCATAATAGTTTTTCGATCTTTGTTAAGTGCTCACGAAAATAAGAAACGCTAAGCTACTTTTCATAATTTTTACACTGATTTGTTTTTAGATACAGTGATTAAACCCCCGAATTGGTTTGAACAAAATTTTTTCATTTATTTATGTTGAATTTAAAAACATGTCATCTCATGATCTACACTCGAAGGAGGAAAACTGAGAAACGCATTTTGAAAACTAGTGTTGGGACCAAATTAAGATGTAATATAAATTATTTCTAAAACAGCTACACCAGCGTTTTGGTTGAATTGTATGAAGATAATGATGTGAATGACCTCTGCCTATAAGAAGCTCGTTGGGAGAGCATTGATAAGTCTGCTTAGTGATGGTACACACTAGCTTTATGTTGTGAAAATCAAATGAGAAAAAAATCAAATGAGAAAAAATGAGAAACCTATTATATTTATTTTGCACATTATTTCATTCGTTTTGGGTTGAAGCTGTTAATTAGCCGTCATTTTAACAATGCTTCCACTCTTGTCCTGCTTTTGAGTGCAGTAATTTCTATTGAGAGCATTATTTGTTAAGGAAATAAATGATTTGGTATTTTATGATTTAGTGTTTGTTTAGTTATTAGTTTACATATGCCGATGTTAGATCTATGGTTCCGGTCCGATTTAGGCAGTGTTTATTAGAACTCACAGTTTCAAGGCGAGTTAACTTGATTAAGGTTTGTTATTTATGTTTTTCATGTGGTGCTCGTTTTAATTGAGCTTGTTAATTATCTTATTATATTTTGAATAATTAAATTGATTTATCAAAGATTAATTTAGTCATGTTCATTTATAGGGTAACATGGGGCAGCGAGCCCGCTTTGGGTCATGGGCCCACAGTGGGTTTCTCGCTAAGTATGGCAGATATTGGTCCGTGTTCTCTACCGCCGGTCGACAGTTTCACTGGGATGAAGTGTACGGATTTACGTTTTGCTAAGTGTTTGCGTGATTACGTTACTTGTGAATAACTGTTTTAGCCCAGATTAAATTTTTTTTGCAGCAAAATAAAGCTGTTTTCGATTACTGTAGATGAAGCTTTTGAAATTACTGTGAATTATATTTTGAAAGTAATATTTTTAGGGATAATTTTGAGATCAAGTTTAGACTATTAGCTTTTAAAATAAAATGTTGACACGATATAAATGATACCTAGTAGGGCAACGGGCCCACGCGTGTCACGGGGCAAAGCGCCCATGTTGAAGTCTTGTGTTATACATCATTAGATTTGTCACAATGATCTTTTCAAAACTATGACTAGGTTTTTGAATTACAAATTACACTTCATATTGCATGATTTTTTTATTTGCCGCCTCATGGCAGCAGGATTAGTTTCTAGTTATGCGGATTTGTAACCCCTTATCGAGTTATTGACTCTTGCCTTGCCAAAAGTTGATTTCAGTCAACACCAATGAGCCAAAGTTTTATGTTTTTATGGTGTTGGCTGAAATCACGATTAGGTACGAATTCTCTGCACATAATGCCTGGATTATGGACGAAACTGGAACGAAGTTTTTTTCTGATCAACTATATATATTTTTCTAGTCAAGGATTAATTTTTTCATGTCAAGGACGAATTTTTTATCGCAAGGATATATTTTTCGAGTCAAGGATATATATTTTTATGCCATTGAAATATTTTTCTTCACGTCAGTGATAGATTTTTGAAGCCAAGAGTATATTTTTTTCAAGTTAATGATATGATTTTTTGACTTGTTAATTAATGAATGAATGTCATATTTATTATTACATTTTTCATATTTTTAACTGTAAATAGTTGTTTATCATATTTAAACGACAAATATGCAATTGAGGTAAAGGACCAATTGTGGGCGCCTTGCCCGAAACCCATGGGCCCATTGCCTCAGGGGTGGGGCAATGGGCCCATTTGACACTTTTTACAAAATAGCGTTTCATTAAAAATTGAATAATTCTATAGGCGTCTAATTCACATCATACATTCCTCATTAGTTGTACCTTTAAACAAAACAAAGAACCACCTCGTATCAATTAAACCGTCATCAAAAATTTAGTTTAAAAAAGGTGGGCTGCCTCATCTTGCCCTATGTTACTGTAGGATATCTATTCATATGATGCCAACAGGAGAGTGTGAAATTGTGGATACAAGAGTGCAGAGTAAACCCATTCGCCTTTTTTAACAAGCCCTTTTGTTTTGAAAAGCGAAAAAGTACAATAAGTACGGATAACAAACTTTCGTGCCCCAGAAGCGTGACTTGTGTTGTTGATTAGGCACTTATCTGTATCTCTTCTAGTTCTTGGAAATGCCTGAGAACATTGCATTCAGCTGTTGTATATCTGTAAGATTTCTCGTAAATGTCTGGGAACATTGCATCTAACTGCTCTGCCTAATTTCATAAATAATGAGGTTAAGCAAGCATGTTATATTTCCCACGATGTCAATGAACCTCTGTGTACTTGCAAACAGCAAGCATGTTATATTTCCCACGATGTCAATGAACCTGTGGGTACCTGCAGCTTACAACTGCACGCTATAAATACAGTGTATGATGAGGGCTACGCAGTCTTCAGCCGAGACAAAATCAATTGAACGTAACTTTCGATGCCTTTACAGAGGGTCTACAAGCTATTGACAGCATAGTTGTCTTTTTGTTCATTATTAAATAGGTTCTGAATATCCTAATTATCTGTTAGAATTATTATATTCGCAGGTTCTCCTAGCTCAATGTTTCCAATGAAAATCATCTGTCTGCTTGCGCTCGTCATGAGTAAGTATCGTATTCATAGGTTTATGTATCGGTTATTAGTATTAGTATAAATGCGGCAAATGATGACGAGTGTGTGAGCGGTAATGTTATAAATTTCTCGTACGTTTTGAACTATACAATCGAGAAAATTAAAAGAATGGTGCAAATAAGTGTTAACACCGACTGTAGACTTGTTCGGTTAAATTATTTCAGTATCACTATGTATCAAGAATGAACTAGATAAATATACTAGATAGTTGCGCTAGTGTACGAAGTGGGAGATACAAACATTGTCAATGATGAGAAAGCAGGAGAATAGCGGATGACATAAAATTAGATACAGAGGCAAAACTAAAAATGATCGTAACTTTCTGCTTAAGCGTCGTAGTGCAAAAGAATTAAATGTTCAATTCGGATTTGATTGTGGAACATGTGAGTAACACTTACATAGTTTCCACGCTCAAGATAAATTTATAGATGAACAGCGTATACATGGTAAAATTGTGGTCACCTGTATGCCTTTGATAATTAATAGTATAAAATATTAATAAAATAAATATTGTGGCAATAATATCATTATTTCTGTAATACATGACAAATGCCTCGTTGCATCAAAAATTGTAACCTTCGATGATAGGCGCCGTGGCAATCGAGTGTCCAGCTGGCTATGAGGTCGTTGGCTCTACGTGCATCCACCACCTGCCTGGTGGGTACCTCACGTACGATGATGCCGTCAACTACTGTCACCAGAATTTCGGCAGGCTGCCCGTGTTGGCCGACTGCGCATCTTTCACTGAAGTCGCAACTTATGTCGACGATGGCGGTAATATTTTCATCTACATTGTATTCGTATGGAAATTAAATACGCAGTTATTTTAATGTTGCTATAAGGACTCACTCACTCATTATACAAGTTTGATTGAAGACCAGAGCACGCTTTTTATTAATAATCTTCTTATTTGTTTCTAGTAAGTCGAACAAAATTTCTTGCTAGCGCCGGGAGATCAAAAAGCAGGTTACCAAATGACATTTTAATAGATTGCGACGTTTCGGAAATACAATTTTCATTATTAAGCTGGTAAAAGTTTTACCACACTTGAAATTGAACTTTGGAATAGACAGTAGTATATATCAATGGTATAGTCTATAGTGTATACAATTAAAAATATTGGACCAATCTGGAGACCTAAGAACCACATACGGGAGGCTCACAATGAGACCATCACCCGAGCGACATTGGAGGCCTGCACCAGCATAGTTATGCGGTGCCCTGACCCATCGAGACTGGCGATAGCNCGGAACTGTTGAATTGTTCGTTTCACGTGAATCAGTGGCGACCGTTTATCGACCAAAACCAATCATGAGCTGAATGACTCATTATTCTGTAACTCATATATGAATTACAGAATTAGGTGTCTTTCAGCTTACAGTTACAGTCATTCAGCTTACAGTTACTGTAGCCATTGAGCATTTATACATAAATGCTCAATGGATTCAGTAACTGTTGACTGTTTGACAGGTTTTTCGTCTGACACATAATCTTGTTTAGGAATTTTGAAGTTTTAACTATAATTCTTTAATGGATGTATTGTGTCAGGCTCAACGGACGCCCACAACGGTTACTGGTTGGGGGCCACCAGCCCGGCGCCCAACCACGTCTGGCAGTGGAGCGACGGCACGGCACTCCAAATGGGCGCTCCTTACTGGGCGGCTGTGGGTGGACCAAATTTTTGCCAGTATTTTTTGCATTATAGAAATAATTTCTAGATCAATGAAAAAAAACCACCGGTGTAGATGGTTGGTTCCTCGTCCTTTACCTTGTGGCACCGCAGTGTGCGATGAAGTGCAATTTTATCCGTCAAGTTCAAACGCGCATTTTTCGGAAGTGATTTAACGAAATTTTACTGGGGGCTTATTTACTTTTTACCTTAGCTCCATCAGTAAAAATTATATTATCATGTGTTTTTTTCGTAGAGATCACATTACCTGTATTTCAGCCTTCCAGTTGCTCTTAATATATTGTTTCGTCAGGGTTTATATGCTATTTGTATCGTCATTATCTGGTACATGTCGTTCTCATTATAGCATGATCTCTCAGAATACCGGAGAAACGGCAAGAGAGCCCCAGGGCGGGACCAGCCAAAACTGTGCTAGCATCATGCCTGATCGGGGCTGGTCAATTCATGATTTCGCTTGCGACGCATCGAACTTTTATCCTCTGTGCTCCATTACTCCGGTGCATGGTAAGTATTATGCCTTGTGAACTGAGTCTGCTATCATTTTCCGCTAATGTCGCAGCTATCGTCTGCCCTTCCCATTATATATTAGAGTGCATTTCAGGTAACGTTTTGTTATGGTTGTTATTGGAAAGTAAATCAATGAGTGATTAAGCTATTTTCAATTTTTTTTTCAAATTTAAAATGGTAACTATGGATGATAATGAGAAACAGAAATATAAAATGCTCCTGGTTAGTTAGAACGGTATTTTTTTCTCTGGCACTGCCTTAACCCATAACTCTAACATTAAATTATTAAATTTTTTGAGCCTTCTCAAAAGATCCAAATACTATTATTACTGTCTGTAGATATATTTCAAGACAGTTTAAGCCGCTCGGCGAGCCCCAATTAAAATTTCGTTAAATCACTTCCGACCAATGCGCGTTTGAACTTGACGGATAAAATTTTACTTCATGGTACACTGCGGTCCCACAAAGTAAAAGACAGGGAACCAACGATGAAATTACTAGTCAGTTTTGCTGGAACTACGTTTATTAAATATTCGTAAAATGTTAGATGCACATTGAAGAGGTGGGTTACAGTTTATCGCACGATATTCCATAGTAAATATATACAAAGTTTCAATAATTAAAGTTGTCTCTACGATGCACTTATCATTCATGCTAATGTATTAATTTATCGTGCTCACTGGATTTTTTAAAGGTCAATATACACTTACATGTTTTAAAGGATGTAATGTCAGTAAGTTATTCATATCGTCAGTCTGCCTAAATCGCAATCCCAATTTAATTAACGTACTTTAATTGAAACAAGGAATCAATGGAAAATTTACTTGACATTTTCTTCGCTTCGCACTAGTGGGCGAGAGAGCTCATATATGTCATTTTCAGCTACATATGGTTATTTGACTTAGTTGTGGCCAAGGAAGTTTGAGTGGATTACAAAATTATTTATTCAATAGATGATTTGCAAGAAATATTTTTCTACCTAGAAGAAGAGAATTATCGAGATCAGCCCTAAATGTCTAAGGAAGGCAAAGTGGACTTGAAATTACGCAAAGTTTCGTGGCAGCAAGTTCTTCAACGTAACTTTTCCTACATGGTTATCCAATGAATATAAAAAAATATAACTCAGTACTCACTGCAGTGAATGACAGCTAGAGAGCGCATTTTATTGTCAACGAAAACGCAAAGTCACGGACGGACGGACATGGCGAGCACAACAGCGCCTTTTTTCCATAAATGATAAAATGCGCTAAAAACAACATAGCCAAGGACAATAATTATCATAGGTCTTCATGAGGAATAGCGACGTACGTCAAAATCTCGATATCACTTTATCCACACATCACATTTAACAAACTAAAAGTATTAAAATATCGAAACAGACCACGTACGGCAAAGACCCTTAAAATCCACAATATCCCTTTTCTCATATGCTTTTCGATTATACCTTTCATGAAATCACAATATTAATAGAATCTTTCGAAGGAAACTACCAGTTGTAAAAAACTCAACTCATTTTCACTTTGATGCAGGCATCTGCCCAACTCCTTATGTTGAGGTGGGAACGCAGTGCGTTCATATGATTCCGTCCGCACATCACTGGAGCTCGTCACGCAGTCAGTGTGGATTGACTGGCGGAGATCTGATCGTTTTTGATGACTGCGACCAGTACCGCAAGGTTAACCTCTATCTCACCGAACAGGGTAAAAATCTACCAGATTGATATAATATTTTCACCATTAATTCAAACACAATTAAATCTGAATGACTAATGTTCGATAATCTTCAACCTTATCTGGTAAGTAGATAAATAACAATAGGTAGGTTATTTTTCAACGAAACTTTAACTTACACTTGGAATGACCTTCAATAAACTAAATTCATATTTTCATGATTTTCAGTTATCTGCATTAACACAGCAATGACATTTCAAGGTAATTTACATTTCAGGCATTTAAATGAAGAAAGGCTCGCTGCTGCTTTTAAACTTTGGTTATAATTATTCGCATTAGAATATTTTACGTAATTTCATAGGTGGAGGTGAAACTTGAAACCCAGTTATTAATTTCGGACGAAAAATTCGCATTTACAAGGTTACAACCCTGATGGGTATTGGATCGGTGGATCTGACAGCGCCCTCGAGGGACAGTGGCGCTGGACTAACGGTTCTCCGATGGTCATGGGGCTTCCATACTGGGGAAATGTGAGGAATTTAATTTATAGTATTTATTCTATTTAAATGAAAACATGAGAAATGTGAACTTTAGTTTATTGAATTTTTCTGAGCAATTTAACACAGAGCAATTAAATGAATGGCCGAATCGTCAGCTTTGCTATGAAAAAATGAACCCCTAAAGTTTTTTTAGCTTAATTAAAGGCTCTGATGCAGCGAATAGCATTTAGTGAATTCTCCCACAGTAATAACGGAAAATTCATATCTTGAGCTACTATGATGCAATTTGCAGCAAGCTGCCTTTAACTTACCGAACACACAAATTCATTAATATTATTTCCACTTTAGACTAAGATTCACTAAAAAAATCGCAGTCGTAGAAGCATATGTTGAACGCTGCAATTATAATTTAGGCGTCAGGCAGATTCTGGATCAGAGCCGTCATATAATTCGTTTAATGCGTATATTCGGGCCATGTACACGTTTTGTTCTACTTCGCCGAATAAAATGAGAGTCAATTCTCTCGTCAATTTCCTGGCACTTGTCGAGTTTTTGTTACAGACTGTTGCAGTTAATCGGACATACGTGTGCAATAAAGGGGATAGCCCACTTAACCGGGCATTTATCATAGGTTCTCAACATATTTATTGACACCAGTCATTTTAGACGAGCCCTAATAAGCAACATGTGATTCATAAGTGGACAGAATAACTGTTATACCGACTAGTTTCTTCCGGACACTTGATTAAAAATAAAAGACCTTATAACCCTCTTAAACTAATTATGCATATCTAATTATTTCAAGTTATTTCCAGAAAGGACTTTTTGTTCCATTGATGTGTACATTAACTAACTTATGAGGTAAATTCAATATCTTCAGAAAACTCAATGATTAGGTTTTGAATCGTGTATGAAACTATTCCTTCAGTTTAGTGTTGACAAAAGTCTTTATTTGCATCGTTGTAATAAAGGTGATGTGTTCCCAACAACAAGTAAATGATAAGAATTCATTACAAAAGCTAGCACGAGCAGAAATTGACATTGTTCTTCACTGATACGCAGTGTGGCTAAACGAACTTCATATTCATTGTAATATTAATGTAAATAATGATTACGCATTGATATGTTTATTTAAATTGCATTGCGATCTATTAATCGTTCAACTAGAAAATCAGTTTAACTTGGACATTTCATGATCACCATTTCTATATGTTATACAAAAACATGAAAAAGGGTTGAAATAGCTGAAACCTTTGGCCTGGAAGACAATGAAAGTAATTTAATTTTCCATAAGTGCCAAATTTTTAAAGAAGAATTGATGATATTATTACTTACAGCTCCTAGAGGCATACTGTCCTTCATAATTCGCAACTAATCATAAAAATTCTTCTAGAAATGTCTTCGATATGAAAAGACTACAGAAAATCTGTTTAACATAACAACTTATAAGTCTTAGATTTACCTGCCAATCATTAACTGGATGTGGTTTGCAACAAAATGGGTTGCTTTCACAAAAAAGGCAAGCACCCTGTGAAGATCATTACCTTTATTTTAGTGCTCTGTGTCGTTACAGACGGATTGGATCTGGTAACCTCAGTTTCGCCATTTGCCTGTGTTATAGACTAGAGCGAAAATTCTAGAAGATTTTCGGAAACGATTAGAAGATGAACATTTAAAGCACTTTAAGTGGAGTTGAATAAATATTATATTATTTTATTTATTTGTAAGAGTTTTCTTCCTATGTATTCGGTACGTATGCTAAGAATTATTCTGCGCATTTTTCTGCCGAAATTCACATCTAAGTGAAAAAATTAGCTACAACGAAATATATCTTGTTTGTAAAATTAAATGAATAATAAAAAGTATGTGCTTAAACAGGCAGCCATTTATTTCCTGATAAACATAATTCGAAAAGATCTTTTTACAGCATTATGCCTTTCGTTTCTCACAAATTGAGGCAATTATTTTGTGAGAGAAATGAGTGCAAATATCAAATTCACAGCTCAATCTTCTCAGATTATAAGTACCGTTGTCTAACCCTCATGAAAATTACAAATAGGAATAACAAATAATAACAAGCATATCGCAAAAGAAAATAATTTCATGTGGAAAAAATGAAAAGTTTATTCATATCAGCCAAGGAGCCCTCAAAGCATAAATAACACGTAGGTTGTACACCTCTATAGTAGTTTTAGAATTTAGAGTATCAAGTACATGTATTACAAAAGGAAATGTATCTAATTCGACGAATATCCTAATAAATAATTTTAATAAGAAATAAATAAACATTCCTAATAAATCGCATCAACAATGCAAGCAATTTATTCACATCTTGGCACTTTCTATTGATATCCTTGTTACATCTATACATGCTCGAGGATGTTCATTTTGTTGTAATAGAATATTTAAATATTTCCAAATAAAATGCCAGAAAATACAGCCGGATACAACTTATTTTCATGTATGTTAACATTTTTGATATTGATTCTGGAGTGGTGATATATGTTTAGTTGATTGGGTTTGATGTTTTCTTATGTTTGATGTGATGTTTCTCTTAGGAGGTTGTTCAGGGTCTGATGACTATTGGCAACTGTCGATCTCTTGCTAACGACAATATTCGATGAATTGCAGTAAAACTGCAAAATTAATTTATCCCTTCACAATTTCAATGATATGAAAAACGTTGTGCTCAGGTCAACATTGAAGCGAAATCTTGTTAAATCTGACTTGACTGGTTTTACCAGATCGATTGTTCGACCATTTGGGTATATAGGATTGGGATGACGCGCATAAATGGTGAGAAAAGCATTAAACAAATTGACACAATCTGCCCATTAGTTCTGGCGCTGTGAGCAAGCAATTCGAAATACAACTTATATTAGGATTTAAACATGACAATCATGGTACAAAGATGGACGAATTCGCCGTATCAGCTTTGTTTGTTTAGATAAGAAACACGTTACTGACTGTTGTCCGTTAAGATATCAGATCTTCAGCTTTGACGCCTTTACCTCTTTCGCCGTGTGATATGGTATGCAACATATCGCGTGAAGTATCACTTGCATCACAAGTTCATCGTAGTCCAGTTGATTAATTCTTCATTTTTGATGGATAATAATTATTGATATTTCTTGATACCATTTTGTTCCTTAAATACTTTCTTCTGATCTTTAGAGTGCTCAAAAATTTACGACATGAAAACTTATTCTGCTCTACCTTGCTGGCTAAATTTATTGCCCATAATCACTTCTATGCTAAGCGGTATTTTTCCTGCTTCTCTGCACAGGCATTTCACCGACATGAAGTTTTTATAAGATGGGCAGTTTTAATGCCATGTTCATAGTAGCGTAGTCATGGCTGCAGTAGTTACTGCAGTCGGCGCCGCCCACTGCTCTAAATTTTAACTCTTATTGATCAAAATTCTGAACAGGAGAGTCGAGTAAGTGTCGTAACTTGAATGCATTGATTTAGCCTTTGATTCGTTAACTCATTCTTTATGTAAAAGTAACAATGAACAAAACTATAATTTCGTTTTCCATTTCGTTGGGAATTAATCATTTCATTCGAACTGCTGCACAATTTATCTTAAAATTAGAGCGATTGAAAATCCAAGACGGCGTATATTTTCCTTCAACCTTGAAACTCCTTGTTGTTAGTAGTATTTAGGCAACTTTAATTTAGAAGATAAAATTTACCTTATCTGTTGTTGTTTCACGGATGGAGAGTGATTAGCCGTTATAGAGAGCCGACTCGTGCAGTTAGCTTAATAGAGATTACGAAGTCTGGCAAGCGTATGTTCCCTATTGAATGTGTTCTCCACAAGTTGCTGCTATAGAAAGCTTGAAGGAAATAATTTTACATAATGAGACAAAGAGAAAATACAGACCAAGATGAAATGGAGAAGGGCGAGCGGAAGCTTCTGAACAGACTTACCGGCGATGACCCTCTGCCCAACTCCCCGTGAGTATTGAAGGCATCCACAAATTTTCTATTCTAATGTTTTGTCTTCTCACTTTCGTTGGAAGGTCCGTCCAGTAGAATGAAACGTTCGCTATAGCCCAATTTTTGAAATGGAATATACAGTGACACGCAAAAGTATTGGATAGCCTACATTACAGTTTTCTTTATATCTCAAGTTAAAGTGCAAGGTTTTACCTAATATTTAGTCAGTATTTTGATAATTGTACTAGAAGCTATATATAGAAAATATATTGATAAGTAAGCAGTGATTGGATTTTATTCTACAAAATAGGAAAATTAACCCGCGCAAAAGTATTGAGCACATGTTCAAAAATGAACAAAAATAACTTTTTTTAAGGTACTCATAAATTGCTTTTCACTTCTGACGTTTCACTAATCTCATATCGTTATCTAATTGGCCAATCAGAGCAGTTGGCTATGGTTTACGAGATTTCGTGTTCCGGTGAAGATATTATCCAGCTTCATAATTAAAATTTAATTTAAAATGGCTAAAAATCGAGAGTTGGCAACAGATTTGCGTCAAAAGATCATAGATTGTTACAAGAAAGGGAAGGGAAATCGAATAATATCCAATGAGCCTGATCTATCATTGAGTACACTTGAAAATATCATCTGGAAGCAATCATTCTGATGATATCATCCGCGCATGCTGTTGCAAAACTTCCGAGACCTGGTCGTCCGAGGAAACTAACAGACGATAATGCAAGGTGGATAAGCAGAAAGGTACAGAATAACCCGTTTGTTACTCGTGGTGAAATTAAAAGCGACCTGAAGGAAGCTGGGATTGATGTAGCAAAAAGGACACAATCAGCAGAGCTCTAAATCGTACTGGTATAATCTAATCGCCATTAGGAGCATGAAGGATCCCAAAACTAGTACACATGAACGGACAAGAAGTTACATAAACATGCGCGCGAATTCTGGCCTCACGGCGTTGATGTTCGCAGCTCGTGAAGGATTTCGCAATATTTGCAATCAACTGAAAGACACTGACGTGAACCTCCAATGTAATGACGGTAAAACTGCTCTGCACTACGCAGCGAGCACAGGCTTCAAAAGCGTGGTTGCCGTCTTCGTTGAAACGCTGAAGGCAAATTGTTCAATCAGAGACAAAAGTGGCTGGCTGCCTCTACATTACATTCGGAACAGAAAAGAATGTTTTGCATACATGCTTGGAAAAACTCCTGACGAGGCATTGACTCCTGATGTGATTTTGAAAATTGTCGAGATAGCAGCAACAGAATCGTTGAAGAACGTCCAAATTATGGCGAATAATGCAAATTTTACGAAAATTTTATTTCACAACCGCGACAAGAACGGGGAGAACTTACTCCATCTTACTATCGTCCATCATAGCTATGCATCTGCCCTAGCTTTATTAGAGAAAACAAAAATTGACAAAACTTCGAAAAACAACAATGAGGATACACCTTTGCTCCTCACGATAAAACAGTCAGGCAAAAGCTGCAAGGACCAAGAAGCTAAAAGAAGCATTGCTGTTTTGAAAAAGTTGCTGAGTAGCGCCCACGACCTCGCCAGTTCGGCCAACAAGCAGGGCGAAACTCCGCTGTATTTGGCGTCAAAGTTTGGACGTCAAGACGCTCTCCAATGTCTTCTGAAAACAAAACCCGTTATTTTTCAGTCCGATAATCCAGAGAGAAGCCCAATACACGCTGCAGCGCGTGAAGGCCACGATAAATGTTTGAAAATGCTTTTACGTTCTCTCGAGACCAAGGACTTCAAAAAAATGAACGAAATTAAAATCCATCCCCTTCATTTGGCCTCCAGGAACGGTCACGAGAGATGCGTAAATATCCTCTTGGTGGGTACTCGTGCAATGATCACATGAAAGATCATAAATTCCGTCCCATTTAATCAATGGATGACAAGTACAATTACAAGTGAAATTCCATTACTGAGTAAAATCGAATTTTAATCGCCAATCGAATTTTAATTGTATTATGTAAAAGATGTTCGTTTTGTTAAAGATAAGATGACAATGGCGAAAAACAGTAATTCGTAATTTTACTACTAATAAGTGTTTCTTTGGTTGCAGGAAGATGAGAACTTTCAAGAAATTTTTACTCGCAAGGATGATACGGGCCACTATTCTATAGACAAAGCCTTTGACGGCGGACATGATAAGCTTTTCCGTATTCTGCTCCACCGGATGGAACCTAACAAGAAAGACAAAGAATTCTCAATCAAGTTACACGGATATTTTAAAATGTGCCTGGATGAAAAGAACTGGTAAGAATAAATTATATCTTGTTATATTAATTAGTGAACTTTTGCATCGGAGAGAATTTATTTATTTGAGCACTCAGCAATCAGCGATAAACTAAATAATCTTTTTTTTAAGTTTGTAAGTTTGAATTATTGCAACAAAAATTTATGTGCCGAATTCAAAGTAATCAAACTTTTTTTCATATGTGACATTAATTAGAAACAATAGTGTGGTATGCCTAGGCCATGCGATATCTAGGCTAGGCCTTGACTACCCCGATACACAATCGGGCTCGGAAAATAATTTCAGATATGAAGTGATTGGAAGTGTTTTCTCTTAAACTAAGTTTGGAAAATATTCTACATCATGTCTTCAGGGTCTCTCGAACAAGGTAGGAAGAAATTATTTTGAGGAAATCTCACAAATATTTCGTTAGATTTATAAAATTTTATCTACTTCCTAAGGCAGGAAGCTAAGCAAAAGATTAAACAGGAGGCCGAGAAGATAAGCAAACCGAAAGCTGAGCGCAGAAGGCCAAGCAAAAAATCAAACAGGAGGCCGAGAAGATGACCGAAGCGCTAGCTGAGCGGAAGGCAATGCAGCGGAAGAAGGCCACGCAGATGGCCAAGAAGAATATGGACAAGAAGAGGACCAAGCATTTGGCTTTCAGATACCAAGTTCTCAAGGCAGTGATCGAAAGTTCCTGGTGCAAAGTTACATTCGACGCCCGAACCTGCAGCAAATATCATCAGCATGAATCGTCCGGAAGCGAAGTTTACTGCAATTCTTTTGCAGTGCTGGTCGAAAAATACCCTGAACTGGCCTGCCAAGCAATGTACAAACACATCTTCCCTCTACCAAAAAGGAAACTAGAACTACAATACTCCCCCTTCGAGTTTATTTATTACAGGGCACAGGAAGGTATTTTGAGTTTCGGAAGCTGAATTATCATGCAAGAACTTATTAAGTAAAATGGTGTTTACTTGTTCAAACTGTGCATAAATGATTTGTCAGGAGATTTAAAGTAAAAAATACCAAGTTCAAAGTATGACAGACGCCACAACGGCATCTGACTAAGTTCTGAATAAGTTCTAAGGTTTAAGAGTAACCAAGTTAAAAACAATATAGACATTTTTAGAAGTCTCAAATTACTTTCCGAATCTCATCCTAAGATTTTATACCATGCAGAAGCGATTAAACTGCACATTTCATCCATGCTGATCGCTTTTTCTGGCAGGTGGTTAAAATTTCGGTTCCGTTCAGTAAGATTCAGTCCAAAAACCATTGCGTAATAGACTAACTCTATTTGCGGTCTTTCTCAGCAATCATGGTCGGAAAACAAGATCTAACTCATAGGTATAAATGGATTAAATATGATAGATTTCTCGATAAATTAGAATATCTGGTGTTTTCTAATTGAATCGTAAATATTGGTGCACAAAATTTGCTCAGTATTAGAGCCGAGGGTCAAAGTGGAAAAGAGACGAGCAATGAGCAATTCTTCACAGACTCTCTTCGGTTACAGCAATACAATATCAATTACGTATTGACAATTAAATACCTAGACCAACCAGAAACTCTTCTGCATAATGTAGTGAGTATTACAAGCATGAGAACAAGAAACGAGCCTTGATCATCAAGGAACCAATGGCGACACGTCCCGTCTGCTGTTACAACGGTTTGGTCAACGTTACCACAACAACCAATGCAAAAAATGCTTAAAAAGAACAAACATTGCAGATTCGAATGGAGAGGAAGCGGCTATTGTGTCTCCAAATAACAAAAATGCGAAAAGCTAGTACTCAGACCATCCTCTTCAGAAAGCAGTCGGAACGCGCAACGAGGCGCACAGCCGAATTTTGCTTCACAAACTAACCCAGTAAGTTTTTAGTGACCGTTGTACCATCTTAAACGTTAATAAAAAGATTATTACAATCAAGAAGTACTAATTACATATGTCCCAAGTCATGATTTTCTAATCGCTTGGTTGCGTGAAGACTTACCTGTTCGTGGTTAATCTTGCACATTAAAGCAACCTTGTTTGATCTCTCATTCAGCCAATTAGGTGTGCACTGTTCTGACATCTGAGTGAGCCTAATCACTCGACATCCATTTCATTACGTTCGAGCAGCTATAGTGCTAAACTAACGCCACTTACAGATCTAGGAATAACAAAATATTGTACGCAGGAGATTATGATAGTACCAGCTTTAACTGCACTGGAATAAATGCCAAAATGTCGCCATATGTGAGTTGGACCTTTCAGCGTTGAACTTGGCAAGTTGGAACCTCATATCAGGGGGCATGTCGCTAACGTCGGTAAGAACTGAATTAGCTAAAGTAGTCAGAACGTGGCTTGGCCATAGAGTTGTATGAGCAACAATACTAGCTTGAAAGTGAGTAATTTTACTTTTCGATCTTGGATGTGTTGACTGAAATTCTAAAATTTGCAGAGGCTACTCTGTAATGAGCTATCGTGGTACTCACAGCAATGTTTCTTTTGCTTGATATAATATTTCTTTATATAAGTTCTCAGTGCATCTTGTCCGTGGTAAATTACGCTGCTCTGGCTATATTTGTTTTCTCAGGACATGGCTGTTGAATAAATATCAATACGCTCGATGGTTCCTGTACTCCTACCTGGCTATCGACATAGTAACTGCCGTCGTAGTGGCGCTCCTCCTATCCATGACCTGGTGAGTGATTTAATGGGCCAGCGCGGTGGCTACGCCACAATTAGTTTCCTTTTGCTGGGCTCACATACCTCTCATGGCAATGGAAATAATTAAAGAAAGCATATATTGCAATCGCTAACTGCGAGAGCGCATTGATTAGCTCTTGGGTTTTGGTAGCCTGAAATGAAATTTAATATGATTTTTTCTTTTTGATTGACTTCGATTTTTATATGTCGATAACGCTTTCATTAGAGTTTCCTTCTGAAAATTATTCAATGTTATTTCATCTAATAATTATTATTGCAATGCTATCTTGCCTGGACGTCGCAGGAACTCCCAGCGTCAGCAGGCAGCCTTCAGCGGAGCTACGCGCTCTCAGGTGTCACAAGCGTTCGCTGACACGCGTTCAGCTGACAGTGACATGCTGGCCGCCGTCAGCTCCGTGATGCTCATTGCTGACACTGACGCCAGCTGCAGCTCCTGGGGGAATGGTGAGTCAGCATCGAGACTGGGGGAAGTATGGTTTCCAAATCAATTGTCCAGGTATCAGTGAGTGTTTCTCAGTAAATTTGTGAGTTCTGAGAGCATTTTAGCGTTAGACAAAACCAGTTTGCAGCATTACACGTAATTTGGTAATTCCACTTCATGAAAATATACGAGCGTGATATTTCTGCGGTATCAATAAGGTCATAATAGGCAATAGATATGACAGCATTAATCCAGGCAGCCATACCGGTAACAATACAACTGCAGGAGCAATGGCTATGCAATTCACAGGAGCAATAGCTATGCAAAATTACTACTTTTTACCGTAGAAACTATCAAATCTAGCTGACTTATAAATGGATGGTAGCCGCTTATCCACTCATATTTCACGGTTTTATTTGCCATGTTCATAAAACGTGAAAATACCAACAGGCTGGAACGCGTCAGACGACATGGAAGGTATTGTCTGCTGCCTGGAACCGATCTGTGTGCGCCGTACATCACCTGCAGCGACATTCACCTGGCGTCATTGGTCTTGAAAGCCTCACTCTGTTTCTGCTCATAGTCCACGCGTTCCTTGAGTGGCGATTTCTGTTGAAAGTGAGCACTCTTCATTCGAATCTTCTCAAAAATCTTTATTAAAGCATTCTTGAATAATGATCATAGTTGGGACATCATACATAAAATTTGAAACCACTGGAAAGACATAACAAAACTAACTTCTATATATGTTCAGAATAATGGACTCCAGAACTAATGCTTATCAGCTCTTACTCATGTATAAGATAAATCAACAGAATTGAACTGAGATGTGCGTTTTCATATTGACAAATTACGTCAGCTAGATTACCACATCGCAGCTACCTAATCCAACTGGCAGTGGTTACCAGGCAGGGTGGCCCAGTGGTTAAAGATCAGAGTACCAAGATTGGAGCAGAGAGGTGCGGGTTCGATCCTATTTTAACCTATTTAAAATAAAACAGATTTAATATGTAACTAGCTCCTGTGTTTTCAGGTATAAAGAGTACATAAAATGTAATTAATTCTTCGCGGTAATGAAATTCTGGGCGAGACGACTCCCGCGTGCATTCCTACATGCGCGCGTCTCATCCATTGTAATTTGCGAACGACTCGTTATCACACGACACGTTACTCGTATCATTAGTAGTATGTACGGTCTATAGAACTGTTTTGCACGAGTTTTTAAAATTCTGCAAGCAGTGGTTGTAAAGAATAATATATCAATAATTGCTACCTTCAGAATTGTAGCTGGAATTTGTGACTTTTCTAATGTTGCCATGTTCTATGGCAATTTCAGAAATATATCCTCTAAAATAATAATTTGTAATTCTTCGAAAATAACCCAATTCGTAACACTTCGATTTCACTCTGGTACCAAACCCGATGATACAAAGAAAAAAAAGCACATACTCACAGGAAACGAGCATTTTGGTAACTTACGACTACGTTTGGTATCCTTGTTTAAACGTATTTCTCTTGCAGTGGCTCGCGGCTTGGTGGCGATGGCTGCAAACCTATTATAGCCACGCACTTGACTTTTAACTGAAGTTTCCAAAACTCGATCCAGCTTTCTCGATCAATTAGAAATTAAAAAACCTGTAGCATTTGGACACGAGCAGCTGAAGTAACACGCTCATGCCAAGATATACTCCAAGTTAATTAGAAATTTCCATTACTGCCAGTGCAAAAATCTTTGATGCTCAATTCTGTTTCCTAGAATGGCGTGATGTCCATTATTCCTTCACCTCAGTGTCCATGCCGGTTTTCTCAACAAGCTGCAATTTAAGACGCTTTGTACAATAAAATTAATAAACTTGTTTTAAAAGTGTTCAGTTTTAGAAATTTACTATTTTGAAGTCAAATACTTCCCTTTTAACACTACGATTACACAATTGAAATGAGCAGCGTGCATCACCAACACAAGTATAACAAGGGCGAACTGCCGCTTGCAAGTTGGCAGCGTGTGCGCCAGCCTTGGCTGCAGGCAGCCTCAGCCTGCAGCGTATGCGCGTCTACTTCCTCTCCTCCAGATGCATAAACATTTAACGAGTCTAACAACCAATTTTGCCTTGCGAACATGAAAAAACAACTATGAAAAGAAGAACCTTAAAGCATTGTCTGGGTATTGTCATCGATGTTGTTTGAACCAATGAATATTTTTTTAATTTGGTCAAACTGTACTAGTAATGAGGAGCCTGTGCAAAGTTGGATATGACACTCACGCCGCGATTAGTACGATGGCCAGTACGTCCAACCGCCAATTAAATAGAACAATCTTATTTCACTGAATGAATTTTATGAACCTCATCACCATAAGATACAATTGTGCGATTCTAAATTGCTAACCTTACCTTAAAATATTCAAATTTTGTAAATCTCGTTTGTACCGGAGGTACATTGTTCAATGCTTGTTCAATGCGAACTTTTTCGTATCGAGCTCCTCTTCAACAGGAACATTCGAACTTTTACCCCAGTAAGTTTAAATATATGAGAGTTATTCCAAAAGTTCACTGTATCATTCGAATTAGTTTGGAGAATCACGCATCATGTACCTAAGGTTCGTGGAACATCATTAATATCTTTCATTGAAAGATACTTCACCGGATGGCTTACTTATGCAGTCGTTTGAATTTGGAAGGCACATAGTTTCTCGTCAGCGTCCTCATTCAATTTTTGTATTTATAATTTGGTATGGATCTCTCTGGTCCACCTGAAACAGTGCCTTGGTATTTCGTACCAAGCTTGCTTCTACTACTCTGTAACTGACAATTTTTTGGTCGCTAATTTTAGGTTTAAAACATAAAAGAAGCATTTGTGACGTTTTCTTTCTACTCTACTCGACCACATTTGCGATAATATATTTTGCTTCTAGCTGTCAAAACAACCACTAGTGTTCATTTACTCATGCATCCTGAGACGCCCAAACTTCTTGCTTTGTTGAGTGACTGAGAAAAACTCACTTGTGTAAAAAACCGAATTAACATGTTTCATTTTGATTAGTTTTCCAGTTCAACTTGCTATATAAGGCAGGTTCTTGATTAACAATCTCTCTTGCAGTGCCAGAATAATCTGGTATTACAATACATTTTATTTTTGATCTAGAACTGGAGTTTTATCAAATAATGAGATGAAGGAGGCAGCATCGCCCTGCATGATTATAACAATTAATCATACTATAAATATTCAATATATTTCTAAGTGATTTCTTCTTTATGCTAAGCATGTTATTTAGAATCAAGTTGCTTTATAATGCACAAAATCTTGTTGAACTCGTGTTCTACTTTTTCTATTTACGTATCAATCCGCATTTCCGGTCATTCTGAAGATGAACCTAAAGAAAAAGCACCATAAGATGAGGCTTCAGATTTCGTTCACCACGAATGACGCTGGGTAATCCCGCTTTAATGAAACCCTTCTAGAGACCAGCGGCATTCCTACAACACCTCAGATCCGGCCACAGCTGCTCGCCTCTGGGTCTGTCTTCGCGGTAGTTCGGCGGGATCGAGTGTGGTTCCCATACCTGGGGCATCGGCGCTCTGAAGCTCGGCATCTGCGGGCTTTATCTCCTCCGCACCTAGCCCAAGAACGTTAAAGCTTTTTTCATGATCAGAAATTTGGTTATCTTTCTCCCAGCCATGTTACTAAACTGGATGATCCTTTGACACTCAACCGTAAATTGCTCTCGTATTCCACCGATTGTTTATTATATTCATATATATTCTCTTGCTCAACTCCTGTCTTTAAGCTTTGAATTTGTCTGCCTGCAGGTTGGATGTCGAGGCCTGGCATGGAGGATCGAGCTAGCTTAAAACTTTTCATTAGCCTTTAAAACCAGATCAGCCGCTATACTTATTTTCACTTTTTTTCTTTTTCTCTCTTCTTCTTGCCACATATTTCCTACATCCTACTACACACAGCAATCCCCCAATTGTGGCCTTTTCCTGTGTGTATCATTCGTGTTTAAAACAATCTTACATTAGTTTTACCTAGCCAAAAAACCCTAACCTAACCTAACCGAAGTAAACATAGCCTGAATTGTCATAACCTAACCTAATTTTACCTTACCTAACCCAACCCAACTGAACCTAACCTAACTTAACCTAACCTAACCTAACCTTGCCTGAACTAACTTTGCCTTACCTAACCTAATCAAACCTAACCCAGCCACCCTCTATCATGGACGTCATAGAAACTTGTTCCTGTCTTGAACCTAACCTCAACCAATGACGTATATTTTACGACGTGTTTAATTTCTTACCTGTTCTATATTGATACCGTGCATAATTATGGCCGGAGTTCGCATTTCCAACACTCACTGAGCATGTTGGAAATGCGAACTCCGGCCTAAATACTCCAAATTTCAACAATCTAGGTGTCGGTTTTCCTCTATCAAAGTATACAGTGCAGAAAGTTTAAATACTTAGTTGATGGTTGCAAAAAATACAGCATCAAAACTTCTTAAGGTACCAGTTTCTCAACTTACTAGTCGCATTTACGAGCGCTGCCTACTCCTGCACGCCGGTGGTCATCGTACCCAGTTAAAATTTAAGGCCGTGGCGCCGTTGTTTATCGGCGTGGAGGGCGATTATGAGCGCGCAACGGCAGATTGGCCGCTTCTCCCAAATCTCGGCGATATTGCGCTTAAAGAACCAAATTTGAAATTATTTACCACCAAAACTTGCAATATATAAATTCATTATTTCACGCAATAATAATCTTGTGGAAATATTTCGAATCAAATCGCTGTCAAAATTGGTTTAATGTTCATAACACGAAACTGCTATACTTATTAAACATTTTCCCGTAGCCTTTACTCTGAGCTGAACAATCGTTTGTTATAGATAAACGAAGTTTCCTTCAGAGGCTGTTTACTCGAATATAGCAGCATGTTCCAATAAAACTGTTGATGGGATCATCTAATCATCACGGTGGCAGCACTAACCTATTTCATTTGATGAAATTAACAGTTGCAATAGTTCAATTCAATCTTTTTGCCAAATCCTTTTTTCACACTAGTGCCAAATCCTCTACGATGGCTCAACGGTAGAGGCTCGGCTTTGCGTGTGGGAGATCGAAGTTCGTACAATCCTGCAAGCAGGGACTTCTTCAAGTCGATTACTCACGAGGTATGTGTACACATACCCCTTGATGCTCATACCTGCTACATGTCTGACATTGTTACTTACACTGCCATGGTGGATTTGCATACGTAGCCTTCAGTATGGTGATAGTATGAAGCAATATCAGTAAATGCAAAAGCATCGGGGTTGAAAAAAAAAGAAAAATTTTAATCAACTTCCCTTTAATTAAAGGTGGCCATCGGTGGCTCATAGATGCGGAATCATTATTATATACTAATCATTATTATTCTACGAAGCATTTAATGTGGCGTCTGGTTCAAACGAACTTCGAGAGCACGTCACACATAAGATTATATA